ACATTGTTGGTTAACAATAGGGGGCTTAATTTCGTGTTGCTTAAGCTGTTGATCGAGCTTAGGGCTAACGAACACTGGTTGGACAGTCACGCTTAACTTCGAGCTTAGACTGTTCAGTTGTTGTTTAACATGATTAGCTGACGACTGGTCCTTGAAGGGTAACACTAATCTCACAGTCTCCGATGGTACGTCTGGTGATGGACAGGGTTCTGCAGATGAAATCCTTCTCTCAACGAACCGCTTGATTGTAGTTTCAACCAGTGGCTTTGGGTATTTCAAGTTATGAAAAACCCCTCTAAGGCGGTCACATTCCTCGGAGAAGAAAGACCAGTTAGAAGATAATCGATAAGCGCGATCCACCATGGTGTTAACTAGGCTGCGCTTTTTATCTTTTTTATCTGCGCTTTTTTATCTTTTCAGTCTAATTTATGCTATTCTTGTACCTTTCCTTATTTGCATGTTTTTAAACTAGTCTCTTGATAATGGAGTCACGATGACCCCGAAACGTCGAGTAATAAATCTTTCCTGGTTTTTTACTACGATATCAGATCATTTTAAAACAATCATCAGTTACATTAAACACCATTACTCTACAGGTATGTCCGCCCAAATTGCGCAACAGTCAGGCGTAAAGCGTCCAAATGTAGAATCGTGGTCAGGAAGCCCTGATGCAGCTAAGAAAAGAAAACGCTCGTGTGTTGAGATTGAGAATGGTATGCTTATTCATCTTTTTCTTTGTATTTTCAAATTTAAATTTTGCTGTCACGTATCTATTCACCGTTGGATATTCACTCCTACTGCGAGAAAATCGTACCCCCGTTCCTGCAAATGTCTCCTCGCTCAAGCCTGACACTCCTTCAGGCCAAAAATTCAGTATAGAATGATACAAAAAAGAGAGGTTACCTTTCGTTACAACTGTTCGCTATTCGCCAAAGCCTTAAAGCACCTCTTTTCTAACTGATGATTTTCCCTTCTCTCTCTCCTCAGCCCACTATATGGTTAAGGATGGTAATCCATCAGAATACGAGTTAGAAGTGCTGTCTCTGGAACTTGGAGAAAAATGGGAGGAATTAGGACGACGCCTGGGATTCAAACAAGCCGAAATAATTAGCTTTTATGGAGACAACAGGGGGCTGTCAAGGAGGGCTTATCTTATGTTATTGGCTTGGAAACAAAAAGAAGGCTCGAAAGCCACTTACGCATTTTTGAACGATGTTTTGTGTCATAATTTGGTGAAACGTAAAGATCTCGGAGAACAGTTTTGTTGTGATAAGATTGTAGATAATGCCTCTCCTTACTATTCTATTATAAACTAGACGCAAAGCTGCGTGAACTCGGGCTTTCAATATCGCACATCTGCAGTTATCTTTAGGGGACTGCCACGTTGCCATTGTTACTGTCGTCGCACTGTTTCGTCATTGCCAGTCATGAATAAGTCTATTTACTTGTGTTTATATTTGTCTGCTGGAGTGTAATAAATGTTATGGTACTAGACAACAATCAAAGTAATATATTACCATATAGGAGTAGGTTCCTACAGATGGCAAAGGTTGAATTTCAAGGACTTCTCAATGACTTTCAAGGCCAAGTTTTAAAAAAGAACCACTTATGGAAAGGTTTGCGTAAGCAATTTTAAAATTATTTAAAATTGTTTCTCTGCTTTTCCATAAAAGTACTGTCACTTTCAACTTGTAAATTGCTAGTGAAAAAGCATTGCAAAAATAAGCCCAAGGCCTTGAATTTTTTATTTTTAAATTCAAGCATCTTCAAGGACTTTCTAGGCTTTTACGAACCCTGAGTAGGTAATTTACTTGTCTTTAACAGAAGGGAATTGTTTATCTATTAATGGTACCGAGTCATAATTTGTTACCAAATGTTCACCTAAGGGGAGTTGTCAGAAATCAGTAGATTGAACCAATTTTACTGTTCAATAATTCACATTGTTTTAAATAGAAAAATGTCTGAGTATTGAATATTGCTGATGGCCACAACAAGAGAAGCAGCACTATCATTACAGTTTTAGTATATTCAATAAGAGGAATTTGACTTTCATTAATACCAAGAGGGAATACACATATTTTGACCTTTTTGTGGGTTTAAAAATATGTCAGATAACTGAAACCCACATCAAAAACCCTGTGCATTCACTATTATTCCTTACAAGATTTTCGAGAATTGATTTGCTGTCAACTGAATCAGACAATATTCCTTCACTTTAATCACTTTTAAGATCTAAATTTACTTCAGTTCCACAAACATCAACAGTTTTTGGCAAATCATCTGCCAGTAAATACATGTTTAAAGATGAATTTTCATATAATCTTTTGCCATACTTAACAACATCAGGTAAGGTGTTTGAATTCCAATCACTACATTACGTATTTCATTACGGAGTAGCAGAGTGAATAGACAGCCACAGCACAACTCACATTGAACTTTCTGGTTTCACAGGCATGACTCTGAAAAAGGGTACTATTTTGAACTTTATTAATTTTAACCCCTTTCAACTCAAATATATCATTGTTATGTATACTCTGAAAATAATGTACTAAGGTATTCAGTAATGATACTTGGAGCAGCACACATGTGCCTTAAGGATGGCTTCTACCATAAATATCCCTTGCACGAGAATCGAATATTTTAAAGCCCACATTACCTTTACAATAGATAGCAACTGCAGTATACCCTACTGTCAAGACAAAATTGTTGAAATTTTCGGATATAAGTGATTGAAAGGCTCTATCTAAGGAGGTACAGTACTGATATTCTTCTATTGTGGCTTCCGGATGAACAGTACCAGTGTAGCTCTCGCTGTATTAAAGTTCATAGTCAGTCTTGAACACATTTTAAAAGTGTGGATACGTCTGTCTGCATTAAAAATGATTGTCTGGTTAACTGAGACAAATCTGAATTCGACTGATTTCCAATATTCATTATCGACACGAGATCATTAACAGAATTTATTCCTTGTTTGTTATTGTAAATCAAAGAGCATAAATTCATTACAACACTTTGTCCTGAATTTTGTCCAAATACCAACTCATTAGCTTGGTTGAATGGTGCCATTATTGTTTTGCTAGGGTCAATGTACATTAGATTAGGACCAGGGTTCTGTTTCGTCATTGGTCATTGGTCGCTGCGGAGTCACGTGAGAAGGCACACGAGCCTGGGAAGATCAGTTGTGTACGATCCTTTTGGGAAGGTCGGACGGTGTTTGTTGAACACTGAGAACGTCGCGTTCTACATCCAGTGCCTTTTTCGTGAGACAACAGAACAAATTTATATCAACATCCAGCTACCACGATGAACAACAACCTATTTCATAACAAGCTCCAAATTGTTGAACAACATGCACTTAATTTATGGTCCCGAGGGAAACAGTTTTTTTTTTTCCCGAGAGTTCTGATGCTTCCCGAGACGAAGTCGAGAGATACATCAGGACTCGAGGGAAAAAAAACTAACTAGTTTCCCTCGGGATCATACATTAAGTGCTTTGTTATATATTTAGACTTACCTTAAACAATCATATGGGAAAAACCATGCTGTTGTATTCGGCGCGCGGGCAACAACTGCGCAATTGTATCCCGGTCGGGATACATTTGAATTTGATCAGGAGCACTTGACCAAGAGTCAGCCAGTCACTGTGCTCGATTTGTTGAGTGAAAGTCTACGTAAGTAACAATTAGCAATTTATTCCACGAGCGCACTTTGGATATGAGATGATTGATAACTAGTGAAGCCCGAAGGGCCGACTTTGCTTTAAAAAGTGGGGACTAATTATTTCATACAAGGCAGTCCAAAAAGTAGAATCTTCCCATCTTTATTTTCTAAGAACAAACAGAATGTTGCAATGTACAAAAACACTTGGTTCTACTCGTTAAAACCCTTGCATTCCAGTATCCAAAGATCCAGTTTTTTATAAATTTCCATAAAATAACTACCATTTTAAATATATAAAGATCAGTATAAGGAGTATGTATACCGATCCAATGATGTAAAAGATTTAAGAATAGTTCAGTCTTCGTCAAACATAGAAAACTAATTTCTAAATAAGTTCAAACCTAGAGAAGATCGCGGTGACCGCTAGAATTTATCGTTAAAAATGAGTTGATAAGTTTACTTAGAAAGCATGAAGTTGAATCAGAATTGAGTGTGTTACTTGAATTATCTTGCAAATATGTACATGACGAAAATCCCCTTTTTTTGAAATTATAGATTTAAGCCTCACGTTTTTTATATTCTCTCAGAAAAGTTATTCTATCATAATTAATTCAAAACTATTTTCTCAATTCTGCTGTTAAAATGGAATAAAAGCGTTTTGTCGCTTGGACCACTCATTCTTAAAGGTCCTAAAAGTGCAGAATCACCTCACCATTATATCTTTAGAGGCACCATCAGTAAGTGATTGTTGTAAGGACGGTTTTTAATTTTCTTACATGTAGAGCGTACGCCACCAAAACAGCCTGAATTTCGAAATTGTCTATTTCCCTATGAATTTTACTAGCATACGATCTTTCGTCTGCTTCTAAGCCGCATTTACAAATGCGCACTTACTTGAATCAGTTAGTTACCTGACAATCTCATTATAATCCCTTTTTGTGGCTAGTTTTCAAATACAAACTGAACGTCAGGGCCCATTATGTCGATCAGGTAGTTTCACAAGAAAAAGGATCAGAAAAATAACATTCTCATTGCCTTTACATGTGTGTAACCAGGTAATAAAGCACGTTAGAAGCACATTGAACAGGAGCATAACTCACCTGTAGGTAGTACGGAAAGCCGGAAAACTCTTGAACAAAGGCTCATCTTTCAAACCGGCAGTCTAAATCCCACAGGTATCAACGAACGCTTTTCATTCCACTAATTTATTCCTGTTTTTCTCCTTCCCATGTTCCCACCAATCACGTAGCTCCACTTTCTGCCTTTAAAAACCCACAATTCCTCTTTTCGCTCCGACGAAGGGCTAACGCTCGAAACGTAAGCTTTTATAATCGTAACGGTGGCCAATTTACCATTTCAACTTTGTTGATATATTCAAATTAAGAAGTCAAAGTGTTGTGTGCATATTGTACTGAGGTTGACTGAGGCAAAACAAATTAGCGACAAGAGGCCTTGCTGTCACGTGAGAGGTTCACGTTAAGTAATTCTAGGAGGTCTCAGTGTTGTACAGATAAAATAAAGTCCGTCGGAATAAACAGGTGAAAAACTTATATATATAACAAAGACAGAAGGTTAAGCCAAGAGAAAAACCTTAGTTGTCGTAATCATTACAGATATAAAGACACCTAGGTGCTGTTTGGAGATGAAACCAGATCGTCCGGGTGTTCAAAGTGAGTCGCGTCATTCAGTTCGCATCTGGTGATTGGCGGGGAATCGCTGGATTCTAATATGTTATAGCTGACACAGTTAGGCTCCATGAAACATATAGCCCCACAGAAGTCCTGTGGGATGACTCCAGGAACCCCTATCGCGTGTTTAAGCAGCCGATGACCTCTGAAAGCGAGGGCCGCTCTGAAATCCAGTTGGCGACACTGGTCTAAAGAAGGCAAAGAGGAATAACATCTTTCTTAAAAGGATTAACGCGCAAGGAGAGAAGTTTATACCTTTGGCTTAAAGGGAATATTCTATTTGATAAGGATGCCTAACTTTGTTAGTAGAGCGGGTACTAGGAAAGGGATGGCGGAAGATGGATTGGTAACAGAAACTGTAATCGACGTAATAAAACAGCATATAGATGAGAATCGACAAAGAAAAAGCATAACATGACGTTTGAATTACATCCTCTCATCATTGTCAAAATTGAAAGGGATTAGCATAATTATTAACAATATTATAATATTATTTGCTAATTGTACAGCAATGTAAGGTACAGAAATTGTTGACATTAATGAGACAAAGTTTGAAAGTAAGCTTGATGTTCAATAAATTATAAATTTCGCCCTTGTGAAGTCTGAGTGGGTGTTATGAATAGACAAATAGATAAATAAACATTAAACTTTATCGAACGAGAATAAACACTTTACAACCATACACTTGCAAATTCATGGCCCTCCCTAGATTACATGGTCTTCTATGAATCGGTTCACATGTACTAAAAAAAGAAAAAAATAGAAGCCATCAGTAAATAATGACTACGATATTGAGATTTCATCTATTAGTAAAAGTCTGGTCTCTTCTTTTTCTATTAGCTTTCCAGGGTACTTCTTTAGAACTACAAAATTCTCCCACAGGTTCGCTGTTCTCAGACAGTGTTCATATTCTATAATGTTTTTCGATTTTAGAATGTCTATGTACCTCTATACAGTGTGTTGTGTTGGTCACGGTGGCTGCAAATGTAAACGATATGGTTTACTTCACAAAAATCACATCCTGGTGTTCACCCA